AGTCCTTCTGGCCCCTCAGCTGTGACAGACAACAGGGCATGGAGAAGATCTGCCAGAACACTGTTTTGAGAGCCACACATGGGCATATAGTGGCTTCTAGACCAATGCCTGGTGCCTGGACACAGGGTACCACCTCAAACCTCTTGCTCAAAACAACCACTATTTCTGACCACTCCAGAGAGAGTTGATGACTCTGAGCCAGCAATGGATGGAGGAAGGGCTTGAGGCTTGTCTGGGAGGCCCAGGGTGAGGCTCAGATCTTAATGACCAGGATGTGAGGACCAGACAAGATGGCTGGCAATGATAGCAGCTACCTCTTGTGCACACTTTGTTAAACACCATCTGTGTGGGAGCCCTAGGAGATGATGAAGACTGAGGCGCACTGGAAATATGATGCTGGGTTTCAGTAAACATGTTAGAGAGGTAGCAATCAGGCGGCACCCAGGGCAGGTTTGGCAGGAGGGACACTCAGAACAATCCTTTCAGGCACCTGTCATGGCCGCTGAGTACCAGCCTGCCACGGGCTGCACAGCTGCCTGTGGGAGCTTTGTTGAGCTGAATGAGCCTTCCCATTGTACCAGGATGCCTGAGAAGGAAGAGCACATGGCCACAAGTTCACTGCCATGACCTACCATCATAGCACAGCCCATCCTCCTGGCTCTCAGCTGTAGGTGGAATAGGGACAGAGGAAAGGTGTTCCATGTATATCTGAGAACGGGGTCTCATAAAACTCCCTCCTCATAAACTCGTGGGCAAGACCACCTGGTTTGTGTTGACACAGTGCTATATGTGTGGATGGATGGATGGGTATAAGATGATGATAGATAGATAGATAGATAGATAGATAGATAGATAGTTAGATAGATAGATAGACAGATGATAGATAGATAGATAGATAGATAGATAGATAGATAGATAGATAGATAGATAGATGATAGGTAGATGATAGAATTTGTAGTAAAAATCTTTGTTGCCTTGGTCCAGGGCACCTCTGAGGAGTGGTGAACCTCTGAGAGGCTAATGGGCTAATGAGAGGTTTGTGTCATATGACATTCTCATGTAGAGGGTGGTGGGAGCCCAGTTTCTTCCTCTTCCTCTTTCTTTCCTGTCCCAGCCACAAAGGGAACATTGCCCTACCACACTTCCACCATGAAGTGCTGCCTCACAACAGGTTCAAGAGCAACAGGCCAACTGACAGTAAACTGAAGCATCTAAAGTTGATTATTTCAGGTGTTTTGTTATAGTCATGGAAAGCTGAATACCCATAAAATAAAATTCACCATTTTAACTGTCAACTCAAAACACAGCTCTTACTCCAAAAGGAACAACTGATACTTTATTTATTCTGAGTTCTTATATTATTTTATTTATTTACTTCTATTTTATGCCTATGAGTGTTTTGCCTGCATGTATGTAAGTGCACCAGTGTCATGCAAAGCCCACAGAGGCCAGAAGTGGACGTCGGATCCCCTGGAACTGTAGTTATAGAGGGTTGTTAGCCCCATGTGGGTGCTGGGAATGAAACCCAGGTCCTCAGCAAGAGCAGCCAGTGCCCTTAACTGCTGAATCATCTCTCCAACCCCCATTTTAAAGATTTTGTCTGACAGTCAAAGGGATGTTAGGTCAGACACAGACACAGAGGTAGCCAATGAAGGTCTTTTTTTTTTTCGGTCTTTTTGAGACAGGGTCTCCCTGTAGCTCCAGCTGCCCTGGAACTCACTATGTAGACTAGGCTGGCCTTGAACTCACAGAGATCTGCCTGCCTCTGCCTCCCAAGTGCTGGGATCAAAGGTGTGCATCACCACGCCTGGCTCCAATGAAGGTCTTTTAAGAGGACTGAAAACACAAGGGAGCTAGAGAGATGGCTCAGAGTCAAGAGCCATCTTATTGCTCTTGCAGAGGACGTGAGTTCAGATCCCAGCACCCAGATTGGGTAGGTTACGACCACCTATAACTCCAGCTCTAGGGGACCCAACATCCTTTTCTGGCCTCTGTGACTACCCACATACACGCACATACACTCACACAGATACACACATACATATAAATAAAAATAAAGTTATAGATGGGGAGTGGTGGTACATGCCTTTAATCTCAGCACTAGGGAGACAAAAGTAGGTGATCTCTGTGAGATGGAGACCAGTTGGGTCTACATAGAGAGTTCCGGACCAGTCAGTACTATGTCATAAGACCCTGTCTCAAAAAAACAAAAAATAAAAAATAATCAAAAAGTTTTGAAAAATAGCCCAAGATAAACTTGCTCTGGTTCTATAACATTCTAATCAGTTATTCAGTCCTTTCTCCCCTGTTCAGACTCCTTAACACAGGTGTGGCTTTTTCTGGGATCAGTTCATGTGGCTATTTTAAGAGGACAGTTCAGCCACATTAAGAGCAAAAATGCCATTTATGTTGTGCAACTGTCATCCCTGTCCATCTCCAGAATTGTTTCATCATCTCAAATGGACTCATTAAACATCTCCCCATTTCCCTGTTTCCAGCTTCTGGAAGCCCTTCATTGCGCTTTTTGGCCCATGAACTTAACTGCTCTAAACATTTCATGGACGTGGAACCAGACAATATTTGAATTTCTGTGACTGGCTTATTTCACTTAGAAGGGCCAGAACCCCCTCTTGACCCACTAACTGCCCCTGGGTAGCCACTCTGTGCACACCTGTGACCCTGTGCTCAGAGAAGGCAGGGCGAGAATCTGTCTCTCTGACCAAGCACTCTAGCACTCACTCAGGCTAGAGCTCCGCAAACAATGGATGACTGAAAACCAGTCAATACCATCCAGCATGTGTAGACTGAGCCACCGATGCCTCAGTGGCTTTACCTTCAAGGCCTGGAGGATTGTTGTACCCATCAGGTTGCTCATTCCAGACCACAGGCCTGAGACCTCCTGTACTTCAGCCCACACAGGAATGGTTATTTCAAAAGAAAATCAAGACTAAGAAAAGAAAATAAGGAGTTAACAAATGTCCACAAACCACAGCATTATGTTGGCTTTACTAACTGTTTAATATAATACTCCTGTAAATATCTTTAAAAATAATTTACCCTGAGGCTGAGGAAATGGCTCAGTGGTTATGAGAGTATACTGCTCTTACAGAGGACCCAGGTTTGGTTCCCAGTGCTCACATCAGATGGCTCCTAACCTCCTCTCACTCCGGCTCCAGGGAATCTGTTGCCCCCTTCTGGCCTCTACAGGCACCTGCACTCACATGTATACACACACACACAAATACAATAATAAAATGAAATACAAAAATTATAAAGATGGGGACTGGAGAGATGGCTCAGCAGTTAAGAGCACTGGCTGCTTTTGCAGAGGACCCAAGTTTGGTTCCCAGCACCCACATGGCAGCTAACAACTGTCTGTAACTCCAGTTCCAGGAGATCTGATTTGCATGATACCAGCACACTTATATACTTGCAAGCAAAACACCCATACACATTAAATAAATAAATCGTGCTGGGTCTGATGGTGTGTGGGCCTTTAATCCCAGTACTCAGGAGGCAGAGGCAGGTGGATCTCTGAGAGTTCAAGGCCAGCCTGGTCTGCATAGTCAATTCAGGCCAGCTGGGGCTACAGGGAGACCCTGTCTCAAAAAAGACCCCAAATTCCTGCTGCCGGCTTCTGACAGCTCCCCCAGATGCCGCCCTGTCTGTCCTCCATCATCCTATTACCAGTCACAAAGAGTCCAAGGTCAGAGTTCTTTCACAGTCTCTTCTCTAAAGCTCCAGTGACTGATAAGCATTGTGGGAAATTCTTGCACACCCAGGTTCACAACCACAAAGCACATAATGGAACCAACCGTGAAGGGCAGAGGAACAGCTCTCAGCACACTCTGGCACTCCAGAATCACGAGGTACATCTGAGGGGCCTGGAGCCTTTCCCAGCATGGCCAGGGCCCTGGGCCACCTTTGAGGTCTCAAGGCCAGCCTCTCCCAGATCTTGAGAAAGCTGCCTCTCCCTTTGGCTCCTGCTTCCTGTTTCACCCCATCTTTTACCTCCAACTCATGGTACATTGTCCCTCACTCTACATGGTGCCCCTTAACCCACCCAGCACCTCTTTCTACCTACAGACATCACTTGAATCATCCACTGCAGCCATCATAGCAAAACTGCAAAGACAGGGGCTGAAGAGATGGCTCAATGGTTAAGAGCACTGAGGACCCAGGCTTGGTTCCCAGCACCTACATGGCAGCTAACAACCATCTGTAACTCCAGTTCCAGGGTATCCAATACCTTCAACACTCTTCTGGCCTCCATGGGCATTGCACAACACAGGTGCACCTACCTACATGCAGGCAATACACCCATATATATAAAATAAAAATAATAATAGAGGGGGCCTAAATTTGATTAAGATTTATTATATGGAATATGCAAAAACTCAATAAAAATATATATTAAAAATAATAAATAATTTTTTTTTGGTCTTTTTGAAGCAGGATCTCCCTGTGGCCCCAGCTGTCCTGGAACTCACTATGTAAACCAGGCTGGCCTTGAACTCACAGAGATCCACCTGCCTCTGCCTCCCAAGTGCTGGGACTACAGGTGTGTGCCACCATGCCCAGCTCAATAAAATATTTTTTAAAGCAAAGAAAAAGATAAGTTGTCCCCTGCTCAGAATTCTCCAGCACTCATCCGGGGCCAGCACAGCCCACAGGTTGTGAAATCAAGTTGTTCAATAGGAAAAAGTCCAAAGTCGTGTGATGTAACTGCCACTACCTTTCAAGGACGTGTCACTGTGGCCAGCAGTCAGGGTAGAGGAGGAATTCAGCAAGGGCTTTTACTCATTGGCAGGAATTGAGCAATGGTACAGAGAAACCAACAAAGCCTCAGAGAAGCCAAAAGACCCAGAGCAGGGAGATCTGGGTGGGACAGGGGCTAGAAAGCTAACAGTTCACCTGCTGCCACAGGAACCATTAGGCAGTCATGTGTGAGCATCTCAGTTGCTCTCATTCCAAAATACAAAAATGACTTTTCTGGTTGGTCTTGAATGTCCGCCTCAGCAGGGCCACCTCATGTGGTACACCAGATAGTTAATCTTCTAACCAAAGGGCACACGTGCCCACGCAAGCCATTCTCAGGGACCATGGTAATTGACTGGGCAATAGTCCCTCAAACACCCTAGCCCGGAAGCTTCCAGTTGGTGGAGGAAGAGAGGCAGGCGGGCCTCAGTGTCCCTCCTAGGTCCTTGTTGCCCAGGTGAGGTGGTGCCAGCTGTGTTCCAGAGCATCGAGGTCAATGGGACACAAGGCATTCTGCATGTGAGTTGAGGGTAAAGCTACAAGCTGGGGTGGCTGGGGTGGATAGTCATTTAATCTCCCAAGCTGGGCCCCTGTCCATCAGGTGTGTGGGTGAATGAGGTTGGATGGCAGGTCTGCAGCTCAGAGGAAGATAACATTCTCCAGGGGAAGGAGTCACTGTGGTCCTTAGGCCTATGGGACACTGGTAGTGTGGGCAGCCAGGCTCCTAAGGACCCAGGAAAGACAGGCATCCAGTTTCAGAGGGCCCAGGCAGAGGAAGAACTCTCTTTTGCTGAGCCTCAGTTTGGGAGCAAGGACTGAATTGGTGGGGTATTTAAAGACCCCGGGTCAGCTTGGGGGATGCCTCATCATGCCCCCACCTGTCTGCTTTGATGCCCCACAAAGGGCCAGGAGTGTTCTGAGTTTCTGATTTGAGAGCATCCTACTTTTCACAGTAACCCCTCTCTGACTCCCCAAAACACACATATCTGCCTGAGAGAAGGGGAGGTGAGATTCTCTCTTTCTCCTGTCTGTCTGTCTCTCCCTCTCCCTCTCTCTCTCAGTGTGAGTGTGTGTGTGTGTGTGAGTGTGTGTGTACACATTCATGAGGAAGCCAGGTGTCCCTCCTCAGGAGCACTGTCTACCTTGTTTTCTGAGACAGGGTCTACCACTGGCCTGCAGCTCACCAATTAGTCTAGGCTGGCTGGTCAGAGAGCCCCGGGAACCACCATGCTAGGGTTACAAATTTTGAACACCATTCCTTAGGCTTTTTTTATTTGAGTTCTGGAGTTCAAACTCAGGTCCTTTTGCTTACACAGCAAGCACTGTACTGACTAAGCCATCTCCCCAGCCCTTGGCGCTCTCTCTCTCTCTCTCTCTCTCTCTCTCTCTCTCTCTCTCTCGTGTGTG